AAGAAACACAATTTATCTCAAAATTCCAAAGAAAAGTTTAGAAACATACCATTCCTTGTGTAGTCTTCATAAAGTAACCCACTAGCTTGAAGTTGATGGAAGTAAATCTTGGAGGTCAGAATGAATTGTGATGTATGGGTATAATTTGAGTTTTGTGTAGATCTTGGTAAGTTTGAAGGAAAAAAGAGAGACATTTTTGTGTTGATGTGTTGTTATATGAAGAGAATTTGAAGAATGAAGAGAAAAAAATTTGTTAGGGCTTGAGAGAATTTGGGGAAGAGTGGAATTGCTATGTGAGAGTTGTGTTGAAGTTGTAAAATAAAAAGAAGTGAGGATTTTATATATGGGAGTTGTAATGTAGAAAGAAAGAGAAAAGAAAGAAAAAATCATAGAAGTAGGCGGCCGGGTGTAGCATCGAGGCACCTGAGTTGGTTCTTTTGGTGAGGGACATTTGTTTATTTTGGTTTTTTGAGTCCTTTCGATACTTTTCAACATTCTTCCTCCATTTTGAGTTTTATTTACTCCTCCAAACTTTATGACTTGAATTCAAATATCTTGTCGATGCTTGGTTTCACCCCAAACTTAAATTTTGTTTTACAAAACACAACGAGAATATTATAAACAATATAAGAAACAAACTAAAAATTAAAAATATATATATATGTAAGGGATAGATCTTGGGCTGCTTCCTAAAAGATGTTTCTCTAAAGTCATTAACTAGATTTTGTGCCGCTATCATTCTGGAACTATGATTTTAAGGCTTTCTTTAGCTGTTAAAAATTATATTACATAGTGTTTGATGAGTTGTCCATTGACCTTGAAATTCCCCTTTATTGGATGACGTAATTCGATTGTATTATAAAGGAACACTTGTGATACTATGAAAGGTTCGGGCCATCTCAATTTCAAATTACCTAGATGAAGTTTCAATCTAAAGTTGTACAAGAGGACTTGATCTCCCATTTTGAAAACTCGATGTTGGATATTTTTGTCATGCCATTGTTTTGTCCTTTCCTTATAGATGTATACACTTTCATAGGTCTCTTTTCTGAATCCTTCCAATTCATGTAGCTGTAAGATTCTCATTTTTCTAACCTTCTCTTAGTCCATGTTCAACTGTTTCAGCGCCTAGTAAGTTCTTTGCTCAAACTTAACTAGTAAGTAGCACACTTTCCCAAACACCATACAGTATGGTGACATTCCAATCTCTGTCTTGTAAGTTGTGCAATAGGCCCTCAAAGCATCATCCAAAATCTGGGAGTAATTTTCGAGATGCATTTACCATGAGTTTCGAGATTCTTTTCAGCTATCTGTTAGAAGTTTCAACCTCTCCACTATCTGATGGTGATAATGTACGGCGATTCAATGTTGTACCCCATACTTGTGAAGTACTAGTTTGAATAGCTAATTGCAGAAGTGTGTTATAACGTCACTTATTATGGCTCTAGGTAATTTATCAATTGAAAATATGCTTGTTTACGAAGCCTACCACCACCTTTGCATCATAGGTGGGCAATGTCTTAGCTTTCTCGTATTTTGATATGTAGTCCATTGCCACTAAGATGTATCAATTGTTATAGGACGATGCAAATGGTCCCATAAAATCAATATCCCATATATCAAAGATTTCTACCTCTAGAATATTGTTAAGTGGAATCTCATGACAAGTAGAAAAGTTACCTGTTCTTTAGTGCTTATCACAAGATCTACAAAAGTTGTAACTATCCTTAAATAATGTTGGCCAAAAGAAATTGCATTGAAGCACCTCGCTGCTATTTTTGTTTGGCCAAAGAGTCCTCTATATGCTGAAGCACGAACCCATGACAAGATTGGCTTCATCTCATATTTTATCATGCACTTTCTGATGATTTGATCTGTCCCTCTTCGTTACAAGCTTGGATCATCTTAATAATAGAATTTAGCTTCATGGAAAAGCTTTTTCTTCTATTGATAAGTAAAGTTTAGGTTCAAATATCCACTTGCTGAGTAGTTGACAATGTCAGCATATCACGATGCTTTCTCAACCTGCAATAATTGCTAATCTAGAAATATTTCATTGATATCTATCTCTTTCAATTATTTCGACTATTCTAACCTCAGTAAGTGACTTGCTGCCTGATTTTATGTTCCCTTTTAGCATGAATTTCAATATCAAACTCTTATAATAACAGAACCTATTGAATCAACTTGACTTGCATTCTTTTTCTCCAACAAGTGTTTTAAACTACATGATATATATAAACTATCACCTTTGACCCAATTAGATAGCAATGAAATTTGTAAAAGGAAAATACTTTTCTTACACCTCATTTTCAATTGTTGCATAATTGATCTAAGCACCTATCAAAGTTTTTTTTAGCATAATAGATGACGTACAATATTTTTCTCCAACGTTTTCCAAGCATTGGCCCCACTATATAGTCATTGGCATCACACATAAGCTCGAAAGGTAATTCCCAATCGGTGCCACTATAACAGGTGTAGAGGTTAACTTTTCTTTCAAAGTATTAAAGGCATTTAAACACTCATCAGAAAAGTTAAATGGCACATCCTTCTCCAATAGGCTGAATAGAGGTTTTCTAATCTTTGAAAAGTTCTTAATGAATCTTCTATACAACCTTGCATGTCCCAAAAGGCTTTTGATCTCCTTAACCAAATTAGGTCGCTGCAATTTTTCAATCACTATTCCTTCATTTACTATAAAATAGCACTTCTTCCAATTAAACACCATATTCATTTCTTTGTGCCTTTATAACACCAGAGATAGATGTTTCAAGAAAAGAATCACCAAATATTGAAAAGTCATCCATAAATACCTTGATGTACTTTTCCACCATATCAGAAAATATGGCCATCACGCAACACTGAGAAGTTGTAGGTGCATTGCATAGACCAAAAGACAATCTCTTAAAGGCAAAAGTACCATGGGGACATGTGAATGTTGTTTTCTCCTAATCTTCTGGAGCAACTACTATTTGGTTGTATCCTAAATATTCATCCAAAATGCAGTAATGTGAGCGACTGACTAACCTTTCTAACGTCTGATAAGGACAATGGAAAATAATCTTTTCTTGTGGCATTTTAGCTTTTTGTAATTGATACATGCTCTCCACTTAGCTACTAATCGTGCAGGTATTAGCTCATTGTTCTCAATCTTTTCCACTTTAATTCCACCATTCTTAGGCATCACATGCACTGGACTCACCCTTGAACTGTCTGAGATGGGATAGATAATCTCTACATCTAGCAATTTGAACACTTCTTTTCTCACTACTTTCTTCAAAATTGATTTAATCCGCACTAACCTTCCACTGATGGATTTGACTCATCCTCCATTAAGATTTTCCACATACAAAGAATAGGACCGATTCCTTTAGTATCAGCTATTGTCCATCCAATTGCAATTCTATGACCCATAGTACCTCGAACAATAACTTTTTCTCATCATCCTCTGTTATATCATTTGTAACGATTATTGAAAGTGTGATGGAATTTCCCAAATAAGTATAGTGTAGATGTGATGGCAAAGGTTTGGCCTCAAGATTTAGGACCGTATCCACTGAAGGTACTGGTGGTGAATAATTGGTACCAAGAAACTCATATTGCCAATGTCTCTTTCACATGGTCTGTTTTACCAACTATAAAGCAGATTCTTCAATTGTCGACTTCTCTCATTTTGATTGTGCAATACCTCCTTCATATTAGTTCGATGTATATTCTCCTCAAATGTATCAGCTACAAGCTCCTCAAGAACATTTATTTGGCAACAAGTATGTAAGTCAATGGGTATTTCATTACCTTGAACACATTAAATATCACATGCTCATTGTCTACTCGAAGGATCATTTCTACATCATATACATCAATAAGTGTTCTTCCAGTGGCCAAAAAAAGTCTTCCTAAGATTTAAGGAATATTTGAATCTTCTTCCATGTCCAAAATAATGAAATCATCTTGGAAGATGAATTTATCAAACTTGATTAGCATATTTTCAATTATTTCCTTTGGTCTTTTGGTGTACCAGTTGAACAATTGTAAAGATATTGTTGTTGGTTTTGCTTTTCCCAATCCAAGAGAGCCTATAATTAGAGAGTGGTCTTAAAATAATATTTGTACCCAAATTACATAAAGAATGCTCAAAGTAGTTAAAACCAACAGTGCGAGATATATTAAAACTCTCTTGGTCCTTTAGTTTAGCAGGTAGCTTCTTCAGGAGAATTACACTGCATTTCTTGTTCAGGCAAACTATCTTATATTCTTTCATCTTTCTCTTGTTGGAAAGCATTTTCTTTAGAAATTTGTCATAGCTAGGCATTGGTGTTAATGTATATGTGAAGGGGATGCTCATGTACAATTTCTTGAAAATCTCTACAAATTTAGCAAAAAGCTTGTCCAACTTCTTTTTCTATAGTCGTTGAGGGAAGGAGTTGATGCCGCATACACTACAAGAAATTTATGTTTTCTCTATGAAATTTATTTGATGGGAAAGGTAATAATTTGTAGGAAAAAACTTTACCAGACAAAAATATTCTGTAAGCATATTTGTAGGGCAAACATCGAGAGAATAGGTAAAAGACTACAAATTTTTGAAATTTGTGGGCTAAAGTTTTTCCCTACAAACCCTTTGAAGACAAATACAATTTGCCGCGTAAGCTTTCCCCCAACAAAATCATTCATTTGCTAAAGTTAATTTTGCCTACGAAATATTTCACTTTTCCCTTCAAATTACTTGTGGGCTAAATTGTATTTTTCCCTACAAATAATTTTTTATGTTGAAAGAATATTTTTGAAAACACAGTAAATATTATTTTATGGGCTAAACCTATTTTTATCTACGAAAAATTGGGGAAAACATATTTGTAGATTATTATGAAAGAATTTATAGGGAAAAATTAAATTATTTTCATATGTTTTATTTTTTATTTATATTGTAATAATTTTTTTAACCTTATTCAAAATAGCATAAAAAACACAAAAAGATAGTATCAATCAATATAACATTGAATTCAAAATATTTCACCAAAACAAAAATAAAAACCATTTACAAAGTATCATTACATCTAAATTTAAAAGATCATAGCAAGCATGCTCTATATCTATTATTATGCACCTAAAAAAATATAACTATTCATCATCATGAATTAGATATGCAGCAAATCCTTCTATTCTATCATGTGGAAGATCATACAACTAATCCTATTGCTCCAACCCAAAGATGACAATCATTGATCCTGCTTGTAGTCTCCAGGTAGCACCTACACTAGGAATAGATGTTACGTATTGAGAGATGTGATTCAAACTCTATTTAAGAAAGATGTTAAAGAGTAAAATAACCTGTGCAGAAAACTTCGTCAGCATCAAGTAATTCTTCAAATGGAATTGGACATTCTTTAACCTGGCACATTTGGGAAAAATTCTTTGAGCTCTAATCTATGAAGATAAGTACGAATTGATTGAAAGTTCGAATACACAAAGGATAGCAAGCTAGGAAAAAAAATGACTTTGGAGCATATGCAGTAAAATTCCTTTAGATTCACTCATTGAAACTTAACCCATTGGTTGTTGGCGTAGAAAGAACATTTCCCCATACAAGTCGATGAATTATATGATTTTAGTAATTACTTGTAAATCTGAGTACAAAATAAACCACAGTTTCCTCGAAGAAATATATCGTATTAATCAATATGAAATGTGATTAGTTCAATACCTTCAAAATGAAGACATTACAAGAAGAGAACTCTTCAATATATCGCTTATTCATCGAATCAAGGTATAAGGCATAAGAGAACCCTCTGTTCCTTGCTCTGTTTAACGATTTCAAAACCTACAAAACTCGTTGATTAGACCAAAGATAATGCAATAAAATCTTTTACAAAGCAATAAAACGTCAAAAATGTGAAAGAGGAAATACGAGATTATTATGATCATCCAGCATATATTTTACCGGAGCATAATTTGTAATTCTTTTGACACCTCCAGCCCCAGCTCAAGCAGAATGATGAAATTCATCCTCAGCATATAGGTTCAAGGGTGTCATACCCTCCTGTTAGGAAATATTCCAAGATGATTACTCAAATGCTGCATGATGTTATAAATGAAGAAAAAAGGGCATAACAAAATGAAAGAAATAAAGGAAAAAAAGAGAATTAACATTAAAATAGTTCCCAACCAGGAATGCAAAGACGAAGAATGTGTATTCAGAAGCACGGGCCAAACCTAATAGATCCAAGCACAAGCCAAACCCAATAGATCGAATTCTCAAGCGACTATATTTTCATACTTCTTAATCTTTTCTCATAGTAACTTCGTTCATCATAAAAATAGAAAGACACCTAAAAAGTTAGTATATTTCTTGAGTTAGTAATTATTTATGAAACAAACAATTCGTGTAAAAATCAACATCTTTGAAAATACTCGATGGGAGTATAAAGATACCATGTGTACAGTGAGGATGTGTTTCTTGTATGAACGTGTTGGGAGACAAATGCCATTGGAGCAGCTACTCCTTCATACAAAATTAATACCAAATAACATTTTTGATTAGTCTAATCATTGAAGATAATAAAAATCACAAATCATAAAATTCTATAGTGGAGAGCTCAACAAACAAAAGCCGGAAAATACAAAAAAGAATGGTAAAAAAAAAGTAGAAACCCCTCCCCATTCTCTCGTCATCTTCTCCAAAGATGTTTACTGGTTATTTTTCTAAGAATAAAAGAACCAATTAAACTCATGTTACAAGATCTAATCCAAGTTATCAAAAGATTTCAAACTTCCCCTTAATACTCCTATTCTCACAAAACAAATGAAATAACCACAGCAGTGGAGAAATTTACACACCCTTGGGAAGATAAACAAGCAATCATGTATGTTTTATTGCAACATGTTCTTTCATTCCATTTTTCCCCACAAAGACATAAAACAGAACTTTCGAGCGTCGTGAAAGAGATAACAATTGACACCATCTACAAAAAACAAAATATCACGGATGGCTTTTGATGAAATCAATTCACAAATGACAACAGAAGAAACCAAATTTTAATTTGAAATCTATCCACACTTCAGGTTTTTATCATATCGTCATTGATGAATGCAGCAATTATTATCAAAATTTTGGAAATTCAAATTAATTTATTCTTAACTTTAACATTATTAGACATGGGACAGGAATTCTAAAGATTCAAAGCACAATTTTGATAAGAACAATGATTACATCTAATAAATTGGATAAAGCAAAATTTTAATCTAAAGTCAAGGAAACAAAACATTATGATAATTTTGAACACGTAACATTTTCAATTGAGTATGAACCTTCACTTTACTGTAGATCTACAATATTTCTCTATAACCCTATAAATAAATTGACAGCTACCAAGTAAATGAATTTATAGCAGACAAATAACCCAATTTACATTTCACACAATATTCCCCTGCAAATCCGGTAACAATCCTACAAAAAATGAATAAATGATACCTCTTAGCTGTCTCAAGCGTTGATTTGGGTCGTTAGGCTAGTGGGCTCGATGACTGATGGCTGATTGAAGGTGGCGGGACGGTAATATGGTGACGGAAGTTGCAACAGAGTAGGGGGAAATAGCGAAGGGAGAAGAAGAAAGAAGTGTCGGAAAAGAAAAAGTAAAAGAAAAGAAAGGGAAAACAGAAGGAAAATAAAAAAGAACGCCAAAAAAATGTGGAAATAATTTTCTTTAATTTCAGTTTTTCTTTTCAGTTTTCTTTTCAATTCGAATTTACATTTTATAAGGACTAAAAATACAAGTAAAAATGAAAATTTTTCTTCCAAATATTGGCCTACAAATAGGTCAAATTTTTTTGTAACAAAAGATATATCTTTACCCGTCAAAATTTTCTATTGGAAAAAATATAAATTTTTGTGGACACAAGTCTTCCTGTTATTGAAAATTTTAAAGCAAATCATATCCCTACAAACCGTCATATTTGTCCGGAAAAGTGAATTCCACCTACCAATATCAATTTGTCTCCCCAAATTTTGTAGGGGAAGTATAAAATTCTTGTAGTGATAAGCTTTAATGGGACTTGGTACTCTTACTTTGGGTGTTTTTATTTTCTCTCTTCCTCATCTTTTGTGGTTGGTGTAGATTTTCCATTTGCCTGTTCAACTTCTATCTCTGTCTTTTTTGCTTGGTATCTTCACATGTATCTTTAGCAATTGTACTGCACTTCTGATTGTAATAGCTTGCACTTGTTCTTTTAGATTGATCATTGTATTGCCTGACAATGTTTCTTGTTGGCTTTCTACAAGCTGTTAAGCTATCTAAACAATTTATATCTTTAGTTTTTCCATGGGTGCTTGTTGATTTTAAAAATTTGTATCAATTTGCAAGAACACTTTTTCTGTCTTTTACACGTACTAATTGAATATCTCCCCTAAACTTGGTTTTTTTCTCTTACTGGGCATTATTTGAACTTCTTTTGGCTGATTATTAGACTATTCGAAATTTGCGTATTGTCTCCATCCTAGATTATATGGTTGTCCGTATGGGTTAAAATTAAGGGTGACATTTTCAATGAACTCTACTTGGTTCTCTGGAAAACCCATAGAGAAGCAATTTTCTGTGAGATGATTGGCTCCACAATTTTCACATGATGGGTCATCGTGGCATGTGTTCCGTGTATTTTCTATTTCACCAATAACTCTACTATTTTGTAAGAGCAGCTATTTATGCATTGGTAAATATTGTAATGTCTAATTTATAAATTCCAGTTAGTTTGTGTTAGCACTCTTTCTGATGAGAATATTTAATGTGTAGTGGCGATTCACTCGAACAAAATCCATACACTGTTGAACTAATTTTTCGACAATTGATCCACCAGTAGAGGAATCCATATGAGATTTTGATAGTGTCGGAAGTCGTGTGCAGAAGTATTGCACTTGATTACCTATGGTGATTCCATGATTTGGACACTCTTATTAGCTCCTTAAACCTGTTCCACACCTTATGATAACTCTGTCCATCTCTTTATTGGAATGTTAGAATTTCCAATCGCATTTTTGCTATTTTTGTTGGTAGGAAGAATTTATTGTAGAATTTTCTAATTAGATCCTCCCAGGTAGTAATACTTTCATTAAGCTTGGCATCAAATCACTCCAATGTTGCATCAAAATAACCACGACTTGATAGAGACAATAATCCCTGGAGCATGAAAATTCTTATAATTTCAGAGAAATCTGGAGATATATGTGTTCGGATTTTTTATGAACTAGTTAAATTGGAGTGTGTTGCTATTGTAAAGCGCCAACCCGTATGGACTGAAATGTTACTAGAACAATTGTACATTAGTTGTAGAATTAAAGTTTATATACAATTTAGTTTAATCAACTATACTTTTCACATAATGCATAAAGATTTACTTTAAAATTTACTTTAAGTGTTATTTATATCTTTTTTTTTTTTTTTTTTTTTTTTTTTTTTTTTAAAAAAAAAAAATTTTAAAAAAAAAATACAATAAAGCACAATTTAATACTAAAAGAAAAAAATTTAAAAAAAAAGGTCTTTTGAATGATTTCCGTGCATGTAACATTATTGACATGAACATTCTGGGTAATAAATAAATAAAATGCTATTTTACTTTTCTTTCTCAAGCGGTATCAATCTCGAAACTTCACGAAATTTTGAGGGAAGCAAATTTTGAGGGAAGCTAGGAAACTTCTTATAATATGACATATTCAAATATCGACTTACTTTGAAAACATATATAGTACTAAAATATTTTCTAAAATCCCCCAGGGACTTGGTTTGGAAGATAAACCATATGCAGTTTACTTAAAATGATATTTAAATTCTTCAGTCATCGAATTGACAAGATTTCAAGTTTGTTCAGTAGATAACCCATGAGGCTATCAAATCCTACGGATTTTGTCCAAAAATTTCATGTAATGATTAAGTTATTAATTTTTGAAGCCAAGGACAAGCTAATTAAAAAAAAAAAACACTAAGTCTTATCCCTCACATTTTTGTAATGAATGGTAACTTGAACGTTAATTTTTATAAAACATTACTACTTTAAAACATAACTAATTCATAAAAATCTTCTTAAAAAAATCCCACAAATAATGTTCATAGAAATCCATTTGTTAAGAAAAACATGTAAACTTTCGTATTCGAATTAAAAATTGGGTCATCGATTTATCCATAGCACATTGCATCTTCATTTACCATCTTCTACTCTCGAAGCATATCAAATCAACCTGTAGTAAGGACATTAACCCAGGAGTTTGAAACTCAATATATATCATCGGTACATTTTCTTATCAAAATAGAAAATTCGAACTATAGATTCATATTGCGCGGGTAGATGGATTTCCAGCAAAATCCAATTTTTATAGAATTATTATAACACATAGAACTGGAGAATAATTATTCAAACTATAGTAGTGTTGAAGCACCATACTCAGAAGTATCAATTCATTCATACTTTTAACAAAAAAAATAATTCGAAAACAAAAAAATCACTTGCACCTCTACATTCCTAAAGTTGAAGCTTTGAATGGATAAAGTTGGACGATGAATGTTGTTTCGCGATGGCACCCAAAGTTTTAAGAAATTTGCTCTTCTTTCATGTTTTTTTTTTCTTTTGAAAACCTTTTTCATATATCGAAGTGTGCACTTCCGTGTGAAACTTGTATTTATTGTACATTGGAAAAGAGAGGTAGATTGATTTTTACTTGCCTAAGGTATTCTAGGATTTCACTTTGTTGATTGACAGATTTCAGGGTGAGCTTAAGAGCTTGAGGGAAGGGCACTCTTGATGGATTTCCTACTCTCTCATCACTAGGGCTACTTTCTTCAGACTCATTAGACTCCTTTTCATTTTCCCTAAGTTTGGGAGTTGGTTGTATAACCTTCCCAGATCGAATGGTGATGGCATTTACTTCCCTAATATTGTTTTCTCCTGATCTTGAGGTTTGTGACATGTGTTGTCCCTTAGTATTTGGTTGAACTTAAGCAGGAAATTTTCCATGTTCTCCTACATTTAAGGCAATGTCCAATTTAGACATATGATTTTTTATCTCCTTGTTTTCCTCAACCACTTGGTTAATCATAGTCTCAAATTTTTTATTTATTTTACTTTGTACCTCAATGAATGCATATAAGTGTCTTCTAAGGAACTCCTAGAAGACGTAGGCTGATGTGGAGGTGTATTGTAAGCTCGATTTTATTGGGGAGATTGTTGATTCTCAGACTTCCAGCTAAAATTGGGGTGATTCTACCACCCTGGATTATAAGTTTCAGAATATAGACTGTAGGGCTTTTGATATGTACTTAAAGCATTACAATGCTCATCATAGACTTTCCTCATCTCAAGGTAAATAGCACACTTTTGCGCTGGATGATCAATACTGCCACATACAGAACAAAGCCATAAAGGCTCAACACGGGAAATAGATTGCATGGGTTTTGAATCCTTAGCTCGTACGGCTTCAAAATCTAGTGCGGGATTCTACCTTGGCTCTAAGGTTGTCCTCCTCTCTAAGGTAATAAATGCTTGTGCTAGTACAATTTCCTTGAGGTCATGACCTATTGTTACTCTCAATGACACTAAGTCTAGTCCAAGTATGGGCTTTTTCTGCTAGGTCATCTAAGTATTCAATAACCTCAACTGAATCTTTTTGTATGAATTCACCATTACACATCATTTCAACAAATTGACGCTCCTTAGGTGTTAACCCTTCGTAAAAATAACTCACCATACGCCAACTTTCGTAACCATGGTGGGGACAAAGGGCTTGCAATTTTTTGTACCTTTCCCATGCTTGATATAAAGTTTTGCTATCCTTTTTGACAAAAGAGGAAATTTGTTTTTTTTAAACCAGTCATTTTATGATGGAGAAAGTATTTGCTAAAAAATGCTTGGGTCATTTCAATCCATGTCCCAATCGAACATGGTCCCAGTGAATTTAGCCAACTTTTTCCTCGTTCTTTGAGTGAAAATGGAAAAAAATTTAGCCTAACTACGTCCAACGTCCCATGTTGATTGTGGAAGGTTGCCACCACCTCCTCAAACTCCCTAATATTCACATATGAATTTTCGCTTTCAAGACCATGAAAATTGGGAAGAAGTTGAATCATTCCCAGCTTTAGGCCTATATGTGGCATGTTAGGCGAAAAGATGATGCATGATGGTGTAAATGTGTGTGGGGGGTTAAAGTAATCATGCAAAGTCCTATAGAGCGTATCATCATGCTCATTATCAGTCATTGTGTTGTGTAATATGATGTTAGTGCCAATAGATGCAGATTAGGAGAGAGGGTTAGAAAGTGATTCAAACACTGGTTGAGGCCGCGCATTGAATCGCCTTCACTCATCTCGATGCATGTTCATAAAACATAAAAAAATGCTAGATGAGAAATAACAAAATAACTAAGAAAATAAACTAAACTAATTAAAAAATGTAGAAGAGGAACGAAGTCATCATTTTACTCGAGAATCCTTCAATTATTTGTATCGTCTCCCCGACATCGGCGCCAAAATTTGATTATGTCCAAAGAATAACGCAGTAGTTGTAGCACAACTTTGGGGTGTTGATTCCATAGGGAGATGGACGGATTGTTTAAAGGATTTGACAAACTAGGGTTTTCGTGACTGTGAGAGGAATTTATCAATTTGAATGAAATTTGAATATCAAAATGTGAGATTAGTAGAGCACCAAAATTTACTCTCTTGGATTGGGTCAATCAACATCAATTATTCATGCATTTTACTCCAAAAGTCTAGGCTTTCTATAATACATTCCCACATTTTTCATTA